ATAAAATGAAAGGAGAGACCTGGCGTGTGGGGACACAAAGGCTCAAGCAGCTAGTAGAATGAGGATGGTGAAATGAGACAAGTAAAGTCTAAATGTGGTAAAAAAAAAAAAAAAAAGAGTAATCATGTATAAAGAAGGTACACTGTAACCTATAATTTTGCAACTCAAATAAGAAATATAATAAGAGTGGATATTATAACACAGTGATGTCAAAGAACAGTGTGTGGAGGGGGATGCTAGGAGTGAAAGGTTGAAGAAGGTGTGTGGGCAGGGGGAACAAGAAAGATAAGTGAGGCTTAGTAAAAACTAGGATGTGTAAAGAAAGTTTGATAAAACCTTCCTCATTTTTGAACTAATTAAAATATATTTCTTTTAAAGGGAGTTTGAACAGAGGTTCTCCATATGGGTGAACACTGCTAATCACAGAAGACATGGTTTATCCAGTGAAAATCTAATTTCTAGATATGAGTTACCTCGAAGTGTGTTACTGGCGAGGGAGACCCGAAGGCATTCAAACACTGTAAACTCTGATTGCACAGCTCTGCTTTCAACTCATATGGCATCAATTTAATGAATCTGAAAAAAAAAGAAACGTTATTTCATCACTGAAGCAGTTCTAAGACTATTTATTCCAGATCAAAGCCAAAAACCTAAGAAAGGACTAATAAATTTTCCAAACCAGTAATATCCCATTATAGTACAACATACATAAAACAGCTGGAAAAACAGTTTCAAATTTTATTTTTAAATGTAGTTACAAGATGAAAGTTTTCCATATGGGTTTTCCATACAGCCTTTATTTTTATCAAGCCTCCTCTCATCCTCTGTCTTCCCCATCTTCTACACCTTCATTCCACCTTCAATATTCCCATCTCTCCTCTTATATGCCCTATGTTCTGTTACCATCTAACTCTTAAGCTACCCCCATTACAGTCTGCCCTGTAAACTTCTCTTGCTTCTACAGATACATGAGGTTGAACATACAAAACTAAACACTAAAGTTAGGATCTACAGTGCAAGAGGACAGGTGGCACTTGTCCTCCGGTGTCTGAGTTACTTTTCAGCTGTATCAATTTGCTTGCAATTTCATCTTCATTTTTCTCTTTAGCTGAATAAATTTTTATTGTGATCCCATTCCTAACTGTTATGAATGGGACAGAAATAAACATGAATGAGCAGGCATCTCAATAGCATGGCATAAATTCTTTCCAGTATATTCTTAGGAGAATACAAAATTGTCATATGGTTGAGCTGAGCTTTTGAGCAACCTCTAGATGGATTTTTCAAAGGTAAATCACTAGTTGGCACTCCTGCTAACAGTGTGCATGACAACTTCCTCACATCCATGCCACCATCTGCTGTCACTTACATTTTTATAATGGAAATTTTTACTAGGGTTTTAACTCAGAAAAAACATAAAACCTAAGCATATATTTCAGGTACCATTGGCTGTTTTGACATATGTTTAGACTGTGTATTGTTTAAAGTACACACACAGAACATATGAACTAAAAACATGATTAAGACAAAAAAGAACCTCTGTTTTATTTTGCTTATTTTAATATATTATTCACAATTCAGAAGTAAAACTGACCGTTTCAGTTCTAAACTTTCCAAGAAGAAATAGAAAAAAAGGATGAAGAGGAAGATGAGAATGAAGGAGGAAGAAGGAGGAGGACGATGAACGGGAGAAGGGTCAGGGTGTATTATGTCGCACACGCGTGCCCGCATACACATGCATGCACACGTGTGCACACACACCCTTGCTTACATACCATGCTTGTGTGTGCACACACACACACACACTCATCCACATGCACATGCACACGTGATGAATGTAAGCAAAGGCATCTGTCAGGCCACCCTCAAGAGCTGAGGCTTCCAGGGAGAGGGAGAATGAACATGATGTAGACCTCTGTCAACTGGACATTAGACAAAACTATGTGTGTAGATTGACACCTTACCAAGAGTAGTTGGTTTAAAACGTGTGCAAGCCTCAAAAACCTCTTTCGTTGATCTCTGAGAAAACTCCTTAAGATTGAATGTCTCTGTTTTTTAGGTTCAGTATGGACACGGACCTCAGGGTTCTTATCTGATTATCCTTTACACCCTCATAAGCAGTTACACTGAGAAACAGAGACTAATTTTTAAAGACAAATCATAATTTTAAGCAGTGTGAACCTCTTGTAAAAAGACACATTAAGAGAAACAGGATAGACATTAGCAGTAGGAGAAGACAAGGAACAGGACAGGAGCCTCCCACAGAGGACCTGTGAAAGACTCTACCCATTAGGGTATCAAAGGAGACACTGAGACTCATAGCCAAACTTTGGGCAGAGTGTAGGGAATCCTTATGGGAAAAGAGGGAGATAGAAAGATGTGGAGGGGACAGGATCTCCACAAGGAGACCAACAGAGCCAAAATACCAGGGCCCATGGGGGCCTGCAAAGACCAATACTCCAACTAAGGACCATGCATGGAGAAGACCTAGACCCCCTGTTCAAAGGAAGCCCACTGGCTGCTCAGTTTCTAACTGGGTTCCCTAGTAATGGGAACAGGGGCTGTTTCTGGCATGAACTCAGTGGCTTGGTCTTTGATCACCTCCCTCTGGAGGGTGCAGTCTTGCCAGGAGGAAGATGATACAGTCAGCTTTGATGAGACCTGATAAGCTAGGGTCTGACAGAAGCAGAGAAAGTCCTTCCTATCAGTGGACTAGGGAAAGGGTGTAGGGGAGAAGTGGGAGGGTGAGTGGGACTGGGAGGAGACATGTAGTTGGCTGCAGTGGGGAAACAAAGTGAAGAAACTGTAATAAATAAAGAAATTAAAAAAACAAATGAAGCGATAAGAAGAGAGTATAGCCTAAGTGTGCATACTATGTGCCCTAATTAAGAAATAAGGGTAGATGATTAAAATATCCATGAATAATGAAAAACTTTCAAATGCAGATCGATTGAAAAGGTCATGGATTCAAAAACACTAGAAAACCTGAGAAATGTCAGTTTAAATCCTTAGATATTGCTCTGGACTTTTTTTAATTTTTTAAAATTTATTTATATTTTTGTAAATTATAATTTATTTACATTGTATCCCAGCAGTAGCCCCCCACTTCGTTCCCTCCCAACCCTACCCACCCTCCCTATTTTCTTCCACAGTTCACTGATAGGGGAGGTCCTTCTTCCCTTCCACCTGACCCTAGCTCATCAGGTCTCATCAGGACTGGCTGCATTGTCTTCCTCTGTGGCCTTGTAAGGGGAGGGGAAGGTGATCAAAGAGCTAGCCACTGAGTTCATGTCAGAGACAGCTCCTGTTCCCCTTACTAGGAAACCCACTTGGATACCCAGTTGCCAAGGGCTACATCTGTACAGGGGTTCTAGGGTTGTTGTTTTTTTTTTAAGATTTATTTATTTATTTATCATTTAATGTATATGAGCACTCTGCCTGCATGTATGCCTGCACGCCAGAAGAGGGCACTAGATTTCACTATAGGTGGTTGTGAGCCCCCATGTGGGTGCTGGGACTTGAACTCAGGACCTCTGGAAGATGCTTTATTTGTTCTTTTACAGTTTCACACATTCATACAATGTATTTTGATCAAACCTACCCCCAGTCCTTCCATGCTAACAATGCCCAGATCCACACCATCACAGCTCCCTTCTGGTTTCATGAAATAGCCACTGAATTTAATCAGTGTGTCTGGTATGTACGTGGATGTAGGGACATCCACTAGAACATTTTCTTCACATCTGAACAAAATATCATTGTGTATATGGTCCGGAGTTTCATTATCCATCTATCCATTGATGGATATAATCCAGTGTCCTTTCCTAACTCTCATAAAGATATCATCAATGCACATGGAAGAGGAAGGGCCTCTGCAGCATGGAATAGTGTCCTCTCAATATAGGCCCAGGAGTGGCATGACTGTGTCTTATGGTAGTTCTGTTTCTATCAGACTAGTTTTCAAAGTGGCTGCAAAGTTACACTTTCTGTCAACAGTACATAAGCGCCCCCTTTCCCCACACCCATGCCAGTGTTTGTTGTCATTTGTACTGTTTTTTTAATTTTTATTATTTTATCATTTATTACAATTTATTCAATTTGTATCCCAGCTGTGGCTCCCTCCCTCATCTCTGTTGATGATGGTCTTTCTGATTTGAGTCTTAACTGATACAAATTACATAAAATTATTCATATATAGAGAGAGTTTCATAGGATATTTTGAGACGTACATATTGTATAATGTTCATATCAGATACACACACCTACCATATAGACCCTTTGAAATTATTAACATAACTCAAGACGCCCTTGGAATAAATAGAAAAGCACAATTTTGTTCCACCTGTTTTCTCTCATTATTCACAGTGTAGAATCACAAATTTTCACATAAGTTCCCATCACTGCAACAGAAGAAGAAAGGAAAGAAGGGGAAAGAAGAAAATGAGGAAGAGGAGGGAGAACGGAGAGGAGAACAGGAAGAAAAGGAAAAAACAGACACACACACTGACAGCAAAGACATCTGTCAGACACCCATGAAAGCTGATTTTTAGAAAGAGTTAAATATAGTCAACAACTACCAACCGAACATTAGATAAAACTACCAAAATTACTTTTACCAAGATTACTTGCTTAAAAATGTATGCAAAGGTGAAGAATTTTCTCTCACTGGTATCTGAAAAACTTACCGTATTTTCTCTGGTATTGGTACTTAAAATGTCATGGGTCATTTCCAGGTGGTGATGTGTTTAGAACCTCTTAATTAAGTATTTACTTTACGGGAAAGTTTAGCTTTTAAAAACTATGAAAAGCAATTTTAAACACTGTAAACCATATCCTACCTCGTGAAGAGCAAAGTCGAGTATGGTAGAGTATGTATAGTCAAGTTCCAAATCTCTAATCAAAGAATGTTTTTCAGTGTGTTGTTCTATAAAGATAACTTCATTTATAGCAGGGACCATCTAGCGGAGAAACGGAGTTTAGAAGGGAGCTACTAGAACTACCTAGTGTGCAGGCAAAAGGCGTCCTCCCAGGACTCTCCTGAGAGCCCCAGTCACCTCCTTATTCCTCAGGCTGTAGATGAGGGGGTTCAGGGCTGGGGTGATGATTGTATAGAAAACAGAGAAGATATTGTCATGCTTGGGGGTATGGAAGGAGCTAGGCAGGACATACATGAAGGAAGCACCCCCATACCACATCCCAACCACAGTCAGGTGTGAAGAGCAGGTGACCAGGGCTTTCCTTCTGCCCTCGTTTGAGGGCATGTGGAGCACAGTGAACAGAATTAGTGAATAGGAAGCCAGGATGGCAGCAAGAGGGGGAATAAGGAAGGTCACACCCATCACATAAACCATGAGTTCATATCTGGAGGTGTCTGCACAGGCCAGCTTCAGCAGTGGAGGGATCTCACAGAACAGGTGTCTGATCTTCCTAGATTTGCAGAAAGGATATTGCATGGTATAGATGGTGTATCCTAGAGCACTCAGAGATGCCATAGTCCATGATATGGCCACCCCAAGCCAGCAGATCCTAGGCCTCATGAAGATCATATAGTTCAGGGGATGACAAATGGCCACATACCTGTCATAGGCCATAAAGGCCAGAAGGAGGTCCTCTGCCCCTCCCAGTGTCAGTTCCAGGAACATCTGAAGGGCACAGCCCCCAAAGGAGATAGTGTTGTCTTTAATCAGAAAATCTACAACAGCCTTGGGAGTGATAACTGATGTAAGGAGAAGATCCATGAGAGAGAGCTGCCAGAGCAGAAAGTACATGGGCACATGAAGCCGGGCGTCCACTGTGATGACCAGGAGCAGCAATCCATTGCTGGTCATAGCCAGCATGTACAGGGCGGTGAATGTGGCACAGAGCAGTTCCGGAGAGCCACTGCCATCCAGAATCCCCACCAAGATGAAGCCACTTCCCAAGGTGGAGTTCCAGAGCATCATTCTGTGAAGCTTCCTTATCTTCCTAGGAACAGATGGTTCACTGAAGTTTTGCTAATATGAATCCTAGTTTTGTAACATAAGAAACCGGCAATGACTTCAATAATATGATAGTCTTTCCCACAGGTAAATAAGCTTGCTTCTCAATTTCCAAATTTCTAGGTGTCAATTGTACCTTGATAGTAGACATATCTACTGTGAGCATAGGCTAATAATCACTAACAGCTAAACATTAGTAGGTCATTTCATGTAAATATTTCTCATGACACTCACCTCCCAGAAGTATAATTTAAGAAAGATTAACTATTCCTCTGTTAAGAGTAAAACAATACTCTGCTGGGGGGGGGGGCATCTCCCCTTTTCTGAAGTCAAGGGTAGGGAGGATAGGGTGAAGAAGGTAGGAGGGACAGGGTGTAGAGGAGAAAGGGGCTATGATCGCAATGTAAAGTAAATATATAAATTAAAAATAAATTTTAAATAAAAAAAAACAATACTCTGCTATTCATTTCATTTAATGTTTTACTAATGGCTTAGATATCCCAGTAAGTTTTCTGCATAGACATTATTCAAGTATGAATTTCCCATTGGTACAGAGGAATGATTTAAACAAATTACTTTTGGTGTTTTCACTTTGTTCATGTTTCTTTGCTGCTATTGTTTTGTACATATTTGACAAGGTCTTTCTGAGCAGCATGGAAGTTCTTGACTCAACCTCTCAAATGCTGGAATTTTAGAAATATACCAAACTGTCTAGTTCATTTTCTACATTTCATGAGTCCACATTTATTTGAAGCAAATCCTGTGGAAATAGCACATAATTTCGAATTAGTTAGCTCTGTTGCCCATCCCTATACTCACTAGGATCCTGGGGAGGACTATGTCTGATACTAGGCGGTAGTGTATTTGAGAAAGTGTTGCTTTAGAGTTAAAATTTTAGAATTAATGGGAACAAACCTGTTTTAAACAGACTGATACATAATGTGTACCTGGAAAGAAACAGAAACAAAGCCTACAACAATGACTCTGCTTGTGTCTGGAAGAAATGATGAAAAAGAACTGAAGAGCAGGTATTCTGTATTGTAATTAGCCCAGTAATCCTACCTCAGTACAACCACTGGCCCTGATGTTTGCTCTCCCTTCTACAAGTACAGACTATTGCACTGGATAGAAGGGGCACAAGGATGCAGAGGAAGAGCCTTCTTTCTCCTAAGCTGATATTGGTGCATGGTGCCAAATGCTATGGAGAAGCCAATGGGAGAAAAGTCTAAGATTAACAGAAGTCTGTGTTGTGTATCACCAAAATAGAGACTGAAGCCAAGTCAGCATGAAGCTAAAGATGGGAAAGTGAGGCATCCATCCTTGTACAAACTATTGAGCCATGTCATGTATATTAACACTTCATGAGTTTCCACTGCCTTCTCTGGGGTCATCAGTACCCTAACAGTTACAACGTATGAAAATGTGGAACAGGTATCATCAGTCCAATCAGTAGTTTGAGGGCACTCATCATCTGTCTGATAGGTACTATCAGAAGCCAGTGACATCTGCAGAGTCTAAAAGGTGGGCACTGAGATCCCAGCAAGGAAGCAGGTACATAGGCCCAGGCAATGCTCTTAGTTGTCAAAATGTCAAAAACAGAGACTGAAAGGGTCATGGATTCAAAGTACTAAGGAACCTGATTGAAAATAGTCATTTAAATTATTTGTTTGCTCTACACTGATTTTGGCTCGAAATGCATAAAAGGAGGTTACACATTTAATTTAAACAGATACAAAGTCCTTACCTTAGTTGCTTAGAGGCCAAAGTACCTAATGCTCCAGCTTCCTTTGGGGCTTCTTAATGACTGAGGATGTTGCATTAGAAGGGGAGAAGACAGAGGGTTTTTTTTTCCAGAAGTTTAATTGGATTAAACTTTGCTAAACTGGCAAAGCATGTTAAGTGTCCTCCCAATGTCAAGTGTCACTGCTGTTTTATTCCTTCTCATCTACAGATGTACTCTGAAGATGGTGGTGGGAGCAGTCAGGCAGTTAACAAACTTTAGGTAGTATTCTATGGAGCAAGGAAATGGCTTTCCTGTTCTCACACTTGAGAATTAGTAGGAACAACTTGCATTGGACAGTTGCATGGATGGAGCTCCTCACGAAGGAAGTAGAAGTTCAAGATGCTCAAAAGCTCCTAATGTTCTCCATCTAAATGTCCCTAAGGGTGAGAGTAAGCAGGGTCTTGTCTAGGAGAAAGCTGCTTTGTCTTCTGACCCCATGGCCTCTCTTCTCCTTTATCCTATGCATATCTTCAGAGGGACTCATATCCCAACTGAAATGGAAATGTTTGTCTAGAAAATAGTGAGTTAATGAGTACTCTTGGGTGTGTTTCCTAGCGTGCTTCTCCTGAGGTCTTCTGTCAATAATGAGCCCTAAGGTCATACGTCTCTCTCTCCTTTGCATACAACATCCCAATTTCTTATCTTTCTAGATGCTGAGGTTATAGACACACAACACTGGCACCACAGTCCAAGAAGCCTACAATTCTGTTTATCTTTAATGAAATGGAGTAGCTCAGGTTGCTTGTCTGGGCCTGTGGCCTCAACCATAAAATGGGCTTCTCAGGTTTTGGGGATGCTTCTTTTAGCCCTTGTAGGCCAGCCTATTATGTCTTCCCAAAGGCTGTTCCATATACAGTCTATACATGGAAGCTCTTCTCTCTACTGACCTCTGAAAACCCAGGACAGTTTCTGTATGTACTCATGTCTTGATGTCATAGATGATTGTTGAAGAGAGCTTAATTTTCTAAGGATTGGACATGAAGTAAAACAAAACAAAACAAAAAAAAAAAAAATCCCATAGTACTAGAGTTGCAGAGGGTCTACATTAATTAAAATATTTTAACTAACCCAGAGATCAAAGACAGGTTACCAACTATGTGAATACATTTTGCTGACAGTAATCAGACAAGGAAGAAATGTTATTTAAAATGCTGATGGAACAAAACTATACGGCCAGACTACCTGTGCATAGCTGAACTGTCAGCAATGAATAATGACAAGAGAAAATGACAGTGAGAGTCCTTGCTGATAAGCAGGCATTCCAAGAAGGAGATGCAAGCCAAATGTAGAATGAAAAAATCTGTTCCCAAGAACTGAAGAATGAGAAAGAAGCAGTCACTAGAGATGCTGCTAAGCAGAACAGAAACAGAGCCACAATTGTCAGAACGGGGCAACTGAGGCTGGCTTCTGCAGAGAAGAGGGGGTTCTGGTGCTGCAGACATTTCACACTTGGTACTTGAAGGTCTTTCACCTTAAATGGTAAAAATACTAGAGACAGGAGAAATTAAGCCTGTGTTGGAAAGTGTGTGAAGAAAGGACAGCTGAAGCTGAAAATGAGAACGTATCTGAAGCCAGAAATGCAGAGAGTGAAAACTCTGTTCAAACACCGTCACCCAGAGAGTTCTATAGCAAACTGATTCCACCGATGGCCACTGCATGTGACTTATATATAAACCTATCTTGATTGGTTTCTACTGATTGAAAAAAATGATCATGGCAACTTATAAAAGAAAACATTTCATCTTGGGCTTGATTTCAGAGTGCTGCAGTACATGAATGTTATGGTAGTGTCTCAGGGTTTCTATTGCTGTGAAGAAATATAACGAGCATGAAAACTTGTTGAATTATGCTATTGGTATGGGCCTTTTCTAATACCTGCCCTTGCTCCAAAATAATTAAAACAGAGTCCTACCAGATTTATTCAACAAGCTTTAAGCACTGTAACTGGGCAGATATTCACTTACTCTAGTTAAATTATGCTAGTCTGGGTACTTCCCACCCATAAGCCCATTACCTTTTATTTCAGTCTTTAGCTGCTTCTGATATATCTCTCTGTCCGCATGGCACCTTCTCTCCAGTCCCCCCTTTTCCCTCTTCCTCTTTGTCTCCCTCTTTGCCCCTTACCGGGCTCAGAAATCCAGCCTTCTTATCTCCTCTGCCCACCCATTGGCTGTTCAGCTTTTTATTAGCCAGTCAGAGATAATTGGGGAACATTCCTTACACAACATTGATCAGGATATTCTTCAATAATCATGGCAATGCCCATGTTCAGACTGCAGCATTTTCTCAGGGCACTAAATCAGCATCTAAACACACAGTGCACAGGACAACCCCAGCAACAACTCTTGTAAGGAAAGCATTTAACTCGGGCTGGCTTACACTTCTGATTAAGCCCATCATCATCACGGCAGAAAGCATGGTGGCATGCAGGTAGACATGGTGCTGGAAAAACATGAGAATTCTACATGTAGATTATCAGACAGCAGGAAGAAAGAGTGACAGTGGGCCTGACTTGAGCTGAAACCTCAAGGCCCACCCTCAATGACACACTTCCTTCAATAATGCCACACCTAGGCCATACCTCCTAGTTGTACCATTCCCTATGAGCCTTTGAGGGGGGCATTTTCATTTAAATCACCACAGCTTGGAATCATGACAACAGGCAGGATCTGTAGCTGAGAGCTTACATTTAGAGACACAACCATGAAAAGAGAGACAGACAGACAGATAGACAGGGGATGGTGGAAACTCCATGGTTGTTTAAAACTCCAACGCCTACCCCAGTGACACATTTCATCCAACAAGGCCATACCTCTTAGTCCTTCACCAACGGGGGGACCAAGCATTCAAACATGAGTCTATCAGAGCCATTCTCAACCAAACCACCAGAGGCTCCTTCCTCCCATTAGGCCATACCTTGTTTCACTTAGACAAAACAAAACCAGAAGAAGGTTAGTAATAATAAAAACACCAATCAGCATGTGGGAATAAAGGTATGGCATCATCCACCAAGCATAACACAAATCTCTCTTTCTTCTGCTGGATTCATGCCAAGTGTCATCCTATTCTCCAAAATCATTTGGCTGGTGATTTCCCACTGATGAGATATTTTCTTTAAGGGTATATATTAATTTTACATTCTTGATTACTGTTGACCACCAGAATATAGTCAACTAGAATT